CAACCTATATTCAATTCATATTACACTGCACATAGCCCACATTTTATCCACCATATACGACACATAGCCTTCATTCATTCACAATATCATTAATTCACCAATCAATGGCATTATATCACACACAATCACTCTCACGGGGCCTAACTATTCTAGCACACATCACATTGCATACCAATTTCCATCAAACACACAATTCCTACTCTCTATTCAACCACATTGCATTATTCATTGAAATACACAAGAATTACAATACATTGAGATAGGGTAGAGTCCCCCTTTACCTCAGATTGACGTCTTACACGCTAAATCCACCAAGAAGTGCTCCCCTTTACGGATTTCGTCCTAAACACATGGAGAAACTCCATGAGAACCCAGGGAAACCACAAAAACAGAGAAAGGGGATGAAAAACTGAAACCCTAACCATTAAAAGTTACGTCCAAGCGTTTTCCACATAGATTCAACCTTCAATCAAGCTCCCGAACGGCTTTGGAGGCAATGTAATCAGTGGAAAAGGGTATGAGAATGAAAGGATTGAAGGGATTTCGAAGAGAGAGGGAGAAATAACTCTACCCGAACCCTAACCCCCTTTAAATCCTCTTCTGGTTGTGACACTCTCGCTACAACGAGATATTCTCCCCTTGCTGCAACGACACGCCCTCACGCTGCAACGAAAATCTCAAACGAAACTGCACCCTAGTTTCTGCAGAATCTCGCTACAGCGAGACTGCACTCAGAAATACACTCCAAACTGTTATTTTGTCGCTACAACGAGACGTCTCTCGCTACAGTGAGAAGGCGACAGTTCTGGTCCTTCCTCCCAGGGCCCTCTCGCTATAGCAATAATTCTCTCGCTGTAGTGAGAACAGCCTAGAATTACATCCTGCACTTAGCCCATTTTTAGCCCAACTAGTCCAATCCAATCAATCATACATCTACACACACACATACACACACACACACACACATATATATATATATATATATATATATATATATATATATGCATTTGATTTATATAAATAATAATAATTAATATTACAAAAATTAGGGGCGTTACACTAATATTTCATAAGCTCATGAAATTTGGCAGCATATTGCCTTATAGACATATTTCTTTATTTTAATTCAAGGAATTTTTCACTTTTTATTTCTTCAAATCTCTGGAAAAATAATTTCCTAGGGAACTTGCCTTGAATGCTTCCCAAGAAATATAATCATCTTCTTGTGGCAGAGTCTGACTGACAAACCTCCACCAGTCCTTTGCTTCTTCAACCAATATATAGGTGGTATAAACCACCTTGTGCTCCTCATGAAAGCCCAAATGTTTATATAATATTAGATAATATTGCAGAAGATTAATTCATCTTTGTATTGTTATTAGATATGTGACACCATTGTCTCCTTACTTATAGAGTGTTTTACTTACTGATAGCCACTACTACAAAACCTGCATATATAGACGGATTTACAGACAAATTTTTAAACAATTACATATGGTTTTTGAAATTACAGACAAATTTTGCAGATGGACATAAACCGTCTGTAATATGCTCTCGGACAGATGGATTTCACTATCCGTCTATAACGTATAGACGACAAAATCCATTTGTAAATTACAGACGGAAAAATTTGTCTGTAACATACAGATAGCATAATCCGTCTGTAACTTACAGAGGAAAAAATCCGTCTATAAATGGTTTAATGAAATGGTGTGTTTTAAATATTCATTTACAGACAGATTTTTCCATCTGTAAATTCGTCAAGTCCAGTTATAGACGGAAAAATCCGTTTGTAAATTGCCAGATGAAAAGTCAGTCAAAAAGGGCAATATTTATAGACAAATTTTCTCGTCTGTAACTTCTGCTCCAAATTTTCCTTCCATTTTCAAATTATAGATTGAAAAATTCGTCTGTAATTTCTGTCTATATTATTTAACGCTAAATGGTGGACAAACTACAGACAGCCAAAAATTCGTTTGTAATACAAACGGATTTACAGACGAATTTTTCAAAAAAATTTTAAAAAAAATTCTACAAATCTATTTGTAAAGTCGTTTGTATTACAGACAGAAATGACCGTCTGTAAATTGCGCTTTTCTGGTAGTGAGCATTTTAAAATTTAAAAATATATGATCATTGGAGAATTCATTTAAGACTTTTAATTTGGCATTTCAAGTGTTACTACTTGTAGTTTATTAACTAGGTTAATAAACTTTTGAAATGCTTGGTAAATACAAAATAAAAAGAGCTTATAATTTTTAAAATTTAGTTTTTCAAAAATTATATAAAGTAACTATTAGTTTTCAAAAATTAATTACTAATATTTTTATTATCTTGTTATCCTTTATATAACTAAAATTTAATGTACTAATGTTAATCTTATTATTTTTTGTTCTTTTCACGTTCAAAATAGTCTCATTCATTTTTTCTTTTCTCTTTTTGATAGGATCCTCTGTCACTTCTATCTAAATATATTTTATATTAGAAAAACATGCAACTATAAATATTTTATGTTTAAATATATACAAAGAAATTTTATTTTTTATGTAATTATTTAATTAATTAATTATAAAAAAATAAAATAAGCAATAAATTTTAATATTATGTTAATATAATATTATATATTCTTTTAAGTTATTTATCATTAATAAGTTAGTTGTACAATGTACACCTAATTTGTTAAATAATTTTAATTCTATAAGTTATTTATATATATAAACTTTTACTTTCAAGTACACTAGTTTCACAGTTCTAATTTATTTTATCAAACATTAACTTAAGTACTTTATCACATATAATTTAAAATATAAAAAGTATCAAATTTTAAATAATATACTCACAAATGTTTAAATTATATAAATTTGATGTAAATAATCATAAAAATAATGTAGATGATTCAAAGGTTAGATACGTCAATCTTACCTTTCCTTCTATAACGTGTGTTTTGTCTAATATGCTTTTCTTTCTTCCATCCACCGTGGAAGGTGCCTAAAATGAAATATAAAACACCCAACATTGTCTTTAAAAAAATTTAAGATATCTTGTCACTTATTATGCAACATGTTGACTCAATAATAAACATTTTATTCTGCATTTAGAATTATTGGGCAACTCATCTTTCATTTCCTCAGTATCACGACCATGGGTCACAATGGGATAAGGAAAGCTTTTAAAAAAAAAAGTTTTAATAATAAATTTTTTCTAAAAATTAAGAGAGTCATAATCAAAGTTTATTAAAAAAAAATTAATAAAACTTTTAGAAGATATTAGCACGTTGCAATGTCCGTTTAAATAATAGTTATCTTAGATTAATTATGCAAATTTATCTTAATTTTAAAAATATTTATTTAACCTCTAAACATTAATTTCTACTATTTTTTAAAAAAGAATTATTTATTGAAATCTTAATTGATATCTTCGAAAAGAAAAAAGTTATTTTTGAATATTATTTTAACTTGATGAGTTGGTTATCTCACTTCTATAAATCTCTAGTGCAATGAATAACTCAAAGCCACGTAATTTTATCATAAAAATTATGAATTTAATTTATTAAAGTTAAATTTAGTAAAAGAAATTTAATTTTGAGATTAAAATTTTTTTGATAAGATTATAACATTTAAAATATAAGATGACACAGATATAAACACATCTTACAATTAACAATATAGAAAGTAAGGGGAGATGATATAACTATATTGCAAATAGTTAAAATATATTTTTATTTATAAATGAAATATTTGAATTCAAATATGTATATTCAAAGAGAATTTAAGATAGTATAAAGTATACATAATTCTTTATAATTTATTGGATAACTAAAAGTAATGTAAATTACACATCGATGTTGCTAAAAATTATATAGTAAAATTAACAAATAAAATTGAGTAATTAAATATTTAATTATTTAATTTATCAAAGTTAGAAATATAAAATTTTAAAATATTAAATTAATTCTATTTAATAAAAAGAATAAATATATTTAAATTAATTAATAAAAATATTAAAATATTATTTGATAAGTTTATATTGCATGATAGACCAGCGTAACATTGTTACACAAAAGTTTTAACGGTTTAATGTTTATAAAGATAAAAATACTATACAATATTACAAATCACTACATTAATATGATGAAAATGTTTTAATTTAAGTAGATAAATAAATTATTTATAATAGAGAATAGAAAAATATTTGTGAGGGTATATTTTTAATTAATCATAAAAATAAAAATTCATAAGAAGTATACTTCAATTAGTGATATGTATATAATTAATTAGAAATAAATATGATTGAGTCTTAATAATTTATATTACTCAATAATTTAAATAGAAGAATATTTTAAATGATAAATTAGTAAGTTAGCAATTAAAAAGAAAACCACACTTATTGATTCTTATTCCGCATGAATGTGATTAATTTAGGAATTCAATATGTATATAGAGAAAATTGGACGAAGTATGTAGATGTGAGAAGATCTCTAATTATGTGGATATTAGTAAATGGATTGAAGAAATAGTTGCAAAACTAGACTCTGAATCGTAGTTAATGTGTATTAGTCAGGCAAATTTTATAATTAGTTTTTATTTAAATAAAAATATTTTACTATTCAAATTCAATAAAAATTAAAATGAAAAGTTAAAAAAATTATATAAGAAGATTATTATTATTATTTTGGATTAAAAATAATATATAAATTAAAAAGATGGGAACCAAATAATTTTTAAATTGGATGATGTATATTAATATTTTTGTTTTCACTTGGTTGACTTGACCGACTCTCCACAATTGTTATCTATGAAAGATAAAATGAAAGGCGGTCCTTCTTCAATACAATTATACTTTGTATTGTGTGATCCAATATAAATATTAGAAAGAAGGTTTAATCCGCAGAAGCAAGAATCACCTAAATAACATTGTTTTGAATGCATTGTGTGATCATGAATTCTATATTTAGCCTTTTCTGTCTTGCCTTGTTGACGTTTCATATTGTAATTTGCAAGGCATCGAGAGATGCAGTGTGCATACCAAGTGAGAGTGAAACACTAGTGAAGTTGAAAGATAATCTCATTGATCCTTCGAACAGGCTCTCTTCTTGGAATGCAACTGCTAATACCAATTGCTGTGAGTGGTTAGGAGTTGTGTGCAGTAATATAACTGTCCATGTCGTTGAGCTTCACCTCAGTATTACACCTCCTTCTGACGAGTACGACGATGTCGGATATGATGCTTTTGTGAAGTCGAGGTTTGGTGGAGAGATAAATCCATCTTTGGTTGATTTGAAGCATTTGAATTACTTGGACTTAAGCGGCAATGACTTTGGAGGTATGCAAATTCCTACTTTCATTGGGGCAATCACCTCCTTAACTTACCTGTACCTCTCTAATGCCGATTCAGTGGGAAGATTCCTCCTCAATTTGGGAACCTCACAAAATTGGTTCATCTTGGCCTTGCAAATTATTACAGTGAAACTGTGTTTGCTGAAAATCTTGATTGGCTATCGGGTCTTTCCAATCTTCAGTATGTTGATTTGGGAGGTGCAAACCTATCCCAATCCTTTGATTGGCTACAAACTCTGAGTGCTCCTCCTTCTTTGACGGAGCTTCATTTATCAGACTGTATTCTCCGTCCTTATGATCAACCATCCTTACTCAACTTTTCATCTCTTCTCACTCTCGACCTTTCCCTTACTTCTTCTTCCGTTGTCCCAAAGTGGATATTTGGACTGAGGATACTTGTTTCTCTTCAATTAAGTAGTAATCGCTTCCAAGGTCTAATTCTTGTATTAGAAATTGATACAAATTTCTAGATTAGTCTAGAAAAATACTAGGAAAAATCTAGAAAAAACTATTTAGATCTTCTATTTTATAGATATTTTTAGAGAATGTTCTAGAACATTGTAAATCTTTAAATTTTAAGATACTTCTAGAAGAAAGTTCTAGAATATTGGATCACTCAAATTTAATGGAGGAGGATGCCTATAAATAGGCAACCCATCCCATTGTAAATGACATGAAGAAGAAGTAATCAAGATATCAATTTTCCATCTCTTGAGTCTCTTACTAAAACTTCTTCAACTACTATTTTTAACTATTCCTACTAACATTTCAACTATCTTACTCATCTCACCTACACCAAAAACTATCAGTGGCATCAGAGCTACGTTCGGTCATCTATTGGGCGTAGAAATATTACCATACTATTTCAAAATTAAAATAAACCACTTCCAAAAATTTCCTAACCCATGGCTAGCACTACTCAACCATCATCTCTTCCTGTCCCCATTTTCAATGCTGAAAATTATGATTTTTGGAGCACAAAAATGAAAACATATTTCACTTTCCAAGATTTGTGGGATGTTGTGGAAGAAGGATTCACTACTTCCTCAGACATATCATCCCTTACTACAGCTCAAAGAAAAGAATTGAAGGAGAATAAACAAAAGGACTCAAAGGCCTTGTTTACCCTATAACAAGCTGTGACTGATGCAATTTTTTCAAGAATAATGGGTGCTACAATAGTCAAAGAAGCATGGAGTACGCTGCAGGAGGAGTTTGAAGGAAGCAAAAAGGTACACACTATAAAACTCCAAACTCTACGGCGAGAGTTTGAATTATTAAAAATGAAAGAGTCTGAGACCGTCAAGGATTACTATTCCAAAATAAAAGAAATGGTTAATCAAATGAGAGATTACGGAGAAAATATTCTTGACAAAAAAGTTGTTGAGAAATTACTGATTACAGTTTCCCGTAAGTATGATCCAATTGTCACCACTATTGAGCAAACAAAGGACCTATCTACTCTATCAGTGACAGAGTTGGTAGGGTCCCTTGAAGCTTATGAGCAAAGGTTAAAAAGGCATGATGAGGACTCAATAGAAAATTCCTTTCAATCAAAGCTCAAATTACGGTCTCAGAATAAAGGGAATGAAGCAAGAAAGAATAATGGAGAAACTTCTAGAAATAAGAGAATTCTAGAAATTTCTCTAGAAACAATCAAGATAAATATCCTTCATGCGGCATCTATAAGAGGACAAATCATGCTGAAAAAGAATGTCGGTATCGTGGAAAACCACAATGTCGACACTGCAAGAAATATGAACATGTGGAAAAGTATTGTCACAACAAAAACAAGTATTAAGCAAATTTCACTGAAGAGGATGATCGAGAACCACATCTTTTCTATGCTACCCAAGATCCCAGTACTGAAACAAGCGGAAATTGGTACTTGGATAGCGGCTGCAACAATCACATGGCCAAAGATATAAACATCTTCAAGGATATCGATGAATCCATCAAAGTGAAAGTAATTTGAATGGGGAACGGTACTATCGATGAGTCAAAAAGCAGAGGCACTGTTATGGTGGAGACAAAGAAAGGTACGAAACTTATTACTGATATCTTACTAGTCCCTAACCTCAAGGAAAATCTCTTAAGTATTGGCCAAATGATGGAGAAAGGTTATTCTCTTCACTTCAAAGGGGACACATGTAAGATATATGACAGGAAAAAGTAAGAGATTAGCCAAGTAAAGATGGAGGAAAGAAATTAAAGTTTTCCAATAAGCTTTCAACAAGGCGCTAATATTGTCATGAAAGCAGAAGTTGATACTTCACGACTTTGGCATCGAAGATTTGGTCACTTCAATACCCATGCCTTAAAACTTCTACATCAAAAGAATATGATGAAAGATCTTCCATGTCTTGAAGAAAATAATGAAGCTTGTGAAGGATGTCTCCTTGGCAAGCAACATCGACTGCCATTTTCTACTGGAAAAGCTTGGAGAGCAAAAGACTTATTGGAGCTTGTTCATACAAATATTTGCAGACCAATGAGGACATCATCACTTCATAATAACAGGTATTTTATCCTTTTCATCGATGATTTTTCTAGAATGACTTGGGTCTACTTCATCAAAGTAAAGTCAGAAGTCTTTGGAATATTCAAAAAGTTTAAGGCCCTTGTCGAGAAGCAAAGCGGTAAACAAATAAAAGTATTAAGAAGTGATCGTGGCAAAGAGTATACATCTCAAGAGTTTGATAAATTCTGTGAGGATGAAGGCATTCAACGACAACTTACCGTCGCGTATACTCCACAACAAAATGGAGTAACTGAGAGGAAAAACCGCACGATAATGGAGATTGCTAGATCCATGCTGAAGGAGAAAGAATTGTCAAATACTTTCTGGGCTGAAGCAGTTTATACTGCTGTCTACGTACTTAACAGATGTCCAACTAAGGCTGTCCAAGATAAAACTCCAATTGAAGCTTGGAGTGGACAAAAACCATCAGCAAAACTTTTAAGGGTTTTGGATCAATTTGCTACATATACATTCCAGAAGAGAAGAGACACAAACTAGAAGACAAAACCGTACGAGGTATCTTCTTGGGATATAGCACACAGTCAAAAGGATATCGAGTCTACAACTTGCAAACCAAGAAGCTCACCATTAGTCGAGATGTTGAAGTTGATAAAAATGCTGCTTGGAATTGGAAAGATGAAAAGGTTCAGAAAAATGTTTCCATACCAATGCAGTAACCTCAAGAAATTGAAGAAGTCTCAGGTGAGAATTTTTCACCTCCACAACAACAACATTCCTCACCAGAGTCTACTCCAAGACAAGTTAGATCTTTAGTAGATATATACGAGACCTATAACCTGGCCATAACTGAACCTGAGAGCTTTGAAGCAGCATCAAAACAAGAAGTATGGGTCAAGGAAATGGAAGAAAAGATAAAAATGATTGAGAAAAATAACACATGGGTAGATTGCCCCACAGATAAAGATATCATTGGGATAAAATGGATCTATAAGACCAAGCTTAATCTTGATGGCACAAAACAAAAGTACAAGGCAAGGCTGGTAGCTAAAGGATACTCATAACAACCTGGAGTTGATTACAATGAGACATTTGCTCCAATAGCTCGCCTGGATACTATAAGAACTCTAATTGCTCTTGTTGCACAAAAAGGATGGAATATTTACCAACTAGATGTATAATCTGCCTTTCTCAATGGCATTCTTCAAGAAGAGATTTATGTGGAGCAACCGCAAGGCTTTGTCAGCAAAGGTAATGAAGGCAAAGTACTAAGACTGAAAAAAGCTCTATATGGATTGAAGCAAGCTCCACGAGCATGGTACAGTAAAATCGATCAATACTTTACAGATCAAGAATTCAAGAGGAGCAAAAGTGAGGCAACTTCATACACCAAGATCCAAGGTCAGTATGATATACTCATTGTCTCCTTGTATATAGATGATCTTATCTGCACAGGAAACAATGTGGAGATGATAGCTAAGTTCAAAGAAGATATGATGAAGACCTTCGAAATGACTGACCTTGGCTTAATGAACTACTTCCTCGGAATAGAGGTAAAACAAAAGAAAGAAGAAATATTTATCTCACAGAAGAAATATGTTGAAGCACTACTTAAGAAATTTAAGATAAATGGATGTAAGACGGTCAACACTCCATTGGTGACAAATGAGAAATTGAAGAAAATTAATGGTGCACCGGAAGCTGATGTATCACGTTACAGAAGTTTGATTAGAAGCTTACTATATCTCACAGCCACACGACTAGACATAATGTATGTTGTAAGTCTTCTTTCAAGATTCATGCAAAGTTCAAGCCAAATTCATTTTGGAACAGCAAAAAGAATCCTAAGATATCTACAAGGCACAAAAGAGTATGGTATATGGTACCAAACTATGAGCAACTCAAAGCTACTTGGCTACACCAACAGTGATTGGGCAAGATCAATCGACAACATGAAAAGCACATCTGATTATGCCTTTTCACTAGGATCAGGAACAATCTCATGGGCTTCAAAGAAGCAAGCAACAGTTGCACAATCAACAGCAGAAGCAGAATATGTAGCAGTTGCTGAGACTACAAGTCAAGCAATATGGTTACAAAGAATACTTGAAGAAATGGAAGAAAAATAAAATGAGCCTACTATAATCTACTGCAACAATAAATCAGCTACAGCAATGACAAAGAATCCAGTGCATCATAGTAGAACAAAACACATAGCAATCAAATATCACTTTATCAGGGAAGAAGAAGGAACTAAAGAAATCAAGCTTGAGTATTGCACAACTGAAGATCAAGTTGCAGACATTTTTACTAAAGCACTAGCAAGACCAAAATTTGAACAGCTACGCCCGAAGCTTGGAGTTACAAAAATTTGCATCAAGGAGGAGTATTAGAAATTGATACAAATTTCTAGAATAGTCTAGAAAAATATTAGGAAAAATCTAGGAAAAACTATTTAGATCTTCTATTTTGTAGATACTTCTAGAGAGTGTTCTAGAACATTGTAAATCTTCAAATGTCAAGATACTTCTAGAAGAAAGTTCAAGAATATTGGATCACTCAAACTTAATGGAGGAGGATGCCTATAAATAGGCAAGCCATCCCATTGTAAATGACATGAAGAAGAAATAATCAAGATATCAATTCTCTATCTCTTGAGTCTCTTACTAAAACTTCTTCAACTACCATTTTTAACTATTCCTATTAACATTTCAACTATCTTAGTCATCTCACCTATACCAAAAACTATCATCCTGATGGCCTTCAAAACCTCACACTTCTTGAAACTCTTGACTTGTATGACAATTCATTCTCGTCTTCTTTACCTGATTGGATATATAGTTTTCGTCATCTCCAGTTCTTATACCTTTCAAACAACAACTTTTGTGGAAATATTTCTGATGCCTTGGGAAATTTGACTTCTCTGGTTGCACTTAGTTTCTCTGGAAATCAGATTGAAGGAAGAATTCCAACTTCTTTGGGTAATCTCTG